CTGTCTGATAGGAAAAAAGTAGAAATCCTTGTAAATAAATGGGAACAGAATGTTAACAAAAGTACGGCAAATATGTATTTGTATTTTCATAATGTAGATAGGATACGAAATCAACACTGTTTTCTCAAAACATACAGCTTCAGGAAATGGGAACAGTTTAACAAAGTGGATACAGTCAATAAATTGGTAATAGTTTTGAAAATCGAATAAGTTGGAGCAATTTTTCAAGATGGGAACAGTTTCATAAAATGGGAACAGTTTCATAAAGTGGGAAGAGGATTTGCATTTCTTTCCAGTACATAATAAAATAGACTTACTACTTATTTTTGAAAAAAGTGGAGTTAACTCTGAGCTGGGAACAGTTTTTCAGTCAATGGAACTTTAATAAATGATGGTAAATTGCTTAACATAGTCGATACAATAGCATTAATTATATCACCCAAAGCAAGATAGCGTACAATAATATACACATACATATATCTATAATCCACACCCCATTTTAAGTAAGACCAATTTCATAGCTTCACTTCCTAGCTTTCGATTACGCTTACATCTCTTTACATCAAAATGGAACCAGAAATGAAATAATATGAGAAATTAATTAAGATCGTAACCTTATACATTTACGCACCTGCACGACCACTGACCTTAGTTGGCGATCTGTGTAATCAACTAAATAATTAATTCGGTAATATTTAGAGATAAAAGCCAAACAATTCAATCACCATCATCAAGGAGATCATACGGCTTAACTACCGTTAATACAAGAAAATATCTGCATTAAGGCGAGGTAACAGGAAATCCAAAAGCAAAATGCATGAAATGAAAAAATCTGCGCCGCTTAATTAGTGGGTTATTATGAAAAATTTTAATTAAAATTCGAGTATTTTTCAAAGTATTTATGTCAAACGAAATGATTGCGGGGACATATTCGGTGCTTAGAAAGATGAATCGTAAAAAAAATTACTAGAAAGTAATGAAATGAATTATTTTATTAAATAACAGAGTCAGCACACATTTGGCCATGATCATAAGCGGCTGGGCAGTGTAAGCTGGTTGCAAAAAACAAAAAAAAAAAAAAAAAAAAAAAAAAAAAAAGTGTCCGAGAGAGTTTGTACAGTTATTTGTACACTGCGCGCGTCCGGTTAGACGGCTCGCCAAAATTAAGGCGCCACACAAGAAATCCTGCCTTTAGGCCAACGAAAGTGAGAGTGCCGAGAAAGAGAGTGTTTGATTAAAATTAGATATTGAAGAAATGGCTGACTGAGTGAATGATCGTCTCTACGCATGCACGCCTGCTGGAAATATGCGCTCCCTCGATAGGCGTGCGTAAGTGTGTGGCAAAGAGTAAATGTCCAGTTATTTACAATACCAAAAAAAAATCAAATTGAATTAAAGTGGCAATAAGACAAAAAAAAGACACTTGAGACCTGTGGCTTGGGACCAGTTTTCGGTTTATATGACCAAGACTACACACAAGTTGTTGCTGCTTTTTTCCCAATGTGCTTTTTTTTCAATGCCTGGCTTAATGCTGCATTGTGTTGCACAAGGAAAATTGTTATGAAAATTTTTCACTAAATGCCTGTTGCATGCAACAAAACACAACAGACGCGAAAAACTGTTGCACAGTTGAATTAGTGGCGCATCAGCGTGCAGATCGCGATCGAGTAAAGCAGTGCCGACCATTCTATGGGTATATAAAAGTGTTGTGTGGCAAAATAATAAAAATAAAAATAAAAATAAACTAAAAAAATAAAAATCGCTTGAAGTCGGAGAATTTTTCTTTTTTTTTTTGTAAATAAAGTGTCATAAAAAAGTGTTTCGATAGGAAAAAAAAATAACTAGAAAGATTTCGTGAAAACTCGAGCATGGTGAAAATGATATGCTAAAAATTAGTTGTGAAAAAATATAAAAAATTACTGAAGACAGAAAGAAAGGAAAATGAAATAGAAACAAAATTGCATATGAACTTTTAAGATTAAATTTGAATGAATTTGATAAATTAAATTATATATAATAACAATGAGTAATAAATACAAAAAAAAAATAATAAATTATAAATCATAATAAAAAGATACTAAATACAAAATAATAATTAATTATTGATAAAATAATTGATAATAAATAAAGAAATTTATTATATAATTACAACTAGCAAACTATAAAAATAATGAAAATTGAAAAAAATAAATTTCTAGTTAACAAATAAAAAATATTCTTGAAATAGAAACAAAAATAATTAAAAAGCCGCGATTAATAAATAATAAATCATAATATTATTATAAAATTAATATTAATTAATTAAAAACAAAAAATGTATAATAAAATATTTTATGAACAATAAAAATAATAATTAATTATTTATAAAATGGATAAAGAAAAAATAATTATTTTCTTAAAAACAAAAATTTTTATTAGTAAACAATAAATGATAAAAATTTGATTAATTAATAATTAATTTGTTAAAAAATAATAAAAAGTTATTAACCAACAATAAATAAAGAATAAGTATTTACTCCAAAATAAGTTAAAAATAAATACCGCAATAAAAAAATTAATCATTAAATAAATAACAAACTATGAAAATAACGAACGTTAAAAAAAATATAAAAAATAAATAACAAATATATAAAAAACCAATAATAACCCATAATATTATGAAAAAATAAATATTAAATATTTAATTACAAAAAATATTTTACAAAAGCATTGCATGAGCAATAAAAATAAATTACTTATGAATAGCAAAAAGAAAAAATAATTATTCTCCAAAAATAAAAATAAATATTAATAAACAATTAATAATAAAAATCTTAGATATTGGCATCAGAATAATAAAAAGTAATACAAAAATAAATGATAAAAATGTTAAATTAAAATATTGAACAAAAAATAATAGTTATTTTGAAAAAATAAAATTAAATTAATGAACAATAAATAAATAATAAATACTTATTCCTAAATAAATTCAATAAAAAACACATCAGACAAACAAATTAATCAATAATAAAAAAATGTTGATACAAGAAATGCTGAATCAAAAAATTTAATAAACAATAACAAAAAATAACTAATAAAATTAATTAATATATAATATATTAAAAAAGTATGCAAAAGTAATGACAAATCATAAAGAAAGAAAAATTTAATAAAAAATTACGCCAAAATAAGTGAAAAGAGCTACCAACCAGAACTAAATAAAAAAAACTTGATATAATAATTATCGAATAATAAATAACAATTAATTAATAAAGAAAAGAGTATACAAATAAATAATAAAAAATAATAAATAAATTGAGAAATATCAAATAATGATTAACAAATAATCAGCAATAAAAATTTGAAGTAATAAATATTATATTAAATCATAAATAATGATGAATTGAATATAAAGATGAGAAAAAAAATAAAAAAATAAATTAAATTTTACTAACAAAAAATATTCCCAGAGAATTAAAAATAACGATTAATAAATAACAAGCAGAATTAAATAAAACAATTTCAATTATAATAAAATTTAATTCTCGAAAAAATTAAAAAATAAAATGAATAAATATTGAATAACGATTGAAAATTAAAAAATAATAAGAAATCATACATACAAAGAACATTAATAAAGAAAAATTTATTCAAAATAAATAAAAAAGAAAAAATATATAATAAGTAATAATTAATCCATAAAAAATAATAAAAATTTAATGCTAAAGGTATTAAATAATAATTAGTCGAAACAATAATAATAAAATAAAAATAATGTAAATTAAATAACAAAAAGTCATAAATAACGAAAAGTAAAAAATTATTTAAAAATTATAATTATTATTATTAAATATATAAAATTATTAATTAATATAATATTGTGAAAAAATAAATAATGCTTCGAAGACAAATTTCTTCGATACGATTTCTAGAAGTAATTAAACAATAAATAATAAATAAATATTAATTACTAAATAACAAGGAATATTTGACAAGTATATAAAAATAATATGAAATCATAAATAATGAACAATACAGAATGAAAAATAAATAGTTAGTCAAAGGCAAATCATAAATAATAAACAAATTTCTAATAATAGAAAATAATAAAATTTAAGCAAAAATAAAAGACACACGATAGTTAACAAATAATCAAAAATAAATAAATAATAATTAATAATAATATATATATATATATATAATTTAAAATTCTAAGGGCTACAAAAAATATAGAACTAAATAGTATTTTCGAAAAACTATGTATATAAAGCATTTATATTATTTTCATTATTTAAAATAATTTTAATTAAAACTAATTAAATAGATTCTTAAATAATAGAGAAAAATTAAAAAAAATTTACGATTTTACTATTAATTAAAGTAATAGTTTTTATAGTAGTAAGAAACTTTTGAATATTTTATCTGCATCATATATATGTTATTTTTTAATTTTTAATATTTTTGCATAGTTGTTATTCAAAAAATCGTTTTAAAAATTCAAGAATAGTTTAATAAAATAGTAGGTATCTATTTATTTAATTTTTTTATATTTTTTTTTTTTAATTATCATAAACAAAGTATTTCTGATAAAAACATATAGCGCAGAGAAAAAATTTTGGTAGCCTAAAAACTTGTTAAAAATTCACTTTAGTCAATGGCAATGTATTTTTTAGTTATACCTTTTCTTTTCTTTGGGATTTCGCCTACAATTTGCGTACAGTGACTTTGAACTTGACTCGCAACCAATGCCTAAAGTGTGAATAACTCGTGCGTTTAACCAAAAAGTAACAAGAAAACCTCAAGCCATATTTGCTTGCTAAAAACAGCAAAACATATAAGAAAAAAATTGAAAAAATAGTTCGTGAAAAGCCCAAGTAATAACCACTTCCAGTTACCTTCAATCGGAGGTCGACATTGCTGAACTGCCGCTTTTACTTCAGCTACGGCCATACGCTTGATTTCAGTGCAAAATACTGCAACTAAGCGAATTCGTCACAAAACGAGCAAAAGGAAAACCATACATGTTGCTCACTCGCAATTTGGTGGCAGTGTTTGCCGCCACCATCGTCACCTTGACAGTGGTGAGTTAAATTAAATTCCATTGGTTAAGTTAAGGTTGAGGTTAATAGTAAATTTTGCACAAAAAAATGTGAATATTAATTTTTTTTTACCAAAAAATAAAAGTAAAATAAAAATGTGTACAAAATATTTTTCAAACATTTTTAATTAATTTTTTACATCAATTTATCATAAAAAAAGTTATCTGAAAGCAGAAAGTGATGTCCCGTGCAACAGTATTTGAAATTTAATTAAAAAAGCATTATCAGTAACTTTTTTACTAGCCGCTTTTCATTTATCTTAAAAGAAAATCCAATTCCGCGCATTTGGAGCCAGGAAATTGCACCCACGTAATAAAAAATGATAATGACTGTGAACCGGTCGCCACATATTTGTCGCTCTGTCGATTTTTATGGTAACATTTTCATACTGTCACGCTTTGTCGACGATTTGCAAATGCAAATAAAATACAATTAAAATGAGAAATGCAACAAACATACATAATTTTTCTTTTATCACTCAACGCCTTATTAACTCCCATCAACACTTCAATTCAATTCATTTACAAAATTATTTCACTTGACTTTCCACACTTTTTCAGCGCTTCATCGCATTACAAGCATTGCACTGTGACTTCGTTATGCATGCAGTCATTCATTGAGACAATGGAACATACATACATACATACATATATAGGTGTATTTATTATATACATATATATTTTTTATTATTTGCATTTTTTCCGTTTCCTTCTCCTTAGTCTTTTTATGTAGTTTGCTATTATTAGCATTTTATATGTTTTTCTCTTAATTTTAGGTGTTTTTTGTATTTTTCGGTTTCCGGTAGTTGGCAGTTGCATCTTCCTCACTCTATGCAAATAAAATAATTCAAACTCAAAAGTTTTGTATACTTTTATTATTGTTACTTTCATGTTTTCTTTATTCACCACTGCTGTTAATTAAATGCGCATTTGCACATCATTTTTTGCAAGCTTCCTTTACCACTGCTGCGTTGAGTTTTTTATTGCACTTTCTGTTTAATTTTAATTGTCGTATTCTACTTTATTTTATTTTATTCATTTTATTTTAATTTTTTTATTTTTTATTTTATTTTACTTTATTATATTTAATTTTATTTTATTTTATTTTATTTTAGTTTAGTTTAGTTTATTTTATTTTATTTTATTTTATTTTATTTTATTTTATTTGATCTTAATTTCATTTTTTATTTTCTCACTTTTTTGGTTATTTTTCTTCTATTTATCCAGTATAATTTTTCGACAAAATATGTTGCGCCTAAAATTAATGTTGCATTTCATACAATTGTCCATTACTAACGGCACTTTTTCGCCGGCAATTGCCACTTACAATTGCCGTCATAAATCATTGTTAATAACGTTTATACGCAGTATGGCAGCCATACATAAATAAATGCATACAGATATCTTTCATAGTTATATGTATAAACTTAAATGCATATATACTAATGTATATATGTACATTTATTTATATGTATGTATTAATAAAATACAGACGAAGGCAGATAAATATATTGATGTATATCCATTAACAAGTTTTTTTGGCACAATAATTTTTTCTCCGCAGCTGTTACAAATTGCCAAAAGTTCTTCAGAATTTATATTATTTTTTTCATCTGCTTTTATGGCTGCCAAATCTTCTGCAAATAATTAGTTAGCAAAACATATTAATTTTGAAGTATTGTCTTGACAGTTGAACACTTTATTTGACTAATTAATAAAATTCGGTATTTAGTAAGAAGTGCTTTTGAAGAAAAAAGCCCCAAATTGAGTATTTTAAACGAATAAAAAGTCTTAAAAAATTCGATTTAATAATTTTTTTTTTGATTTTTTCAATTTTGTAGCATTTTACATGAATAATGTTTTAGAATGAATATTGAGTTACTTAATTGCTCAGTTGTAAAGTTTTACTGTCACCAGCACCAAAGCACTTACTGAGTGTGAGGGCCTTTGTTGCAACAGCAACACATTTTATGAGTTCCCTTGCATTTATAAATGTACATATTTACTTTTTATTTTTACATTTTCTCACAACACTTTTTTTTAATAAAAATTTCGCTATTTTTCAGTTTAATTTGCATACACATATGTACATACACGTATTTACAAACGAGCTAAACACACACTGCCACAAAGTTCAGCCAGCAATAATAAATAGTAAATGCGCACATACGACCAGGCCAACGTAATNAATGTATATATATGTATATTTATATGTATGTCGTAGTTGTGCTCACTCTTTCAATTGGCATGAAATTGCAGTTTTACTGCAATTATTTATTTTTTATTTTTATTTTTTTACCTTTTTTTTGCACCAAGAAAATTCGCTCAAAGTGAAATTTTTGTAAAATTCTGGGAAAAAGTCAAATCGACAAAAGGCGTGAAATTTTGCACTACAAAAACAACTGAAAACAAAAATATGGAAAATAGTAGTAACTTAAATTGGGTCGGAAATTGGGAAGAAAAGTATTTTGCCAAAACCTTCACAAGCGCAAGTTCAAGTATTGTGTGTAGCAATACAAAAACTACTGTAAATAAATGTGAAAAACCCAAAACAACAACAAAAAGGTACATTCAAGCGCAAAAGGTAACTATGGAAATAAGGTAAAGTTCAAGAAAATATGTATATAAAAGTATGTCCCACTGTAAATGAGACTGTGTACCAAATAAAAATTGGCATAGAAGAAATATTTAATTTTTTTTTAACTAACAGCATTTATTAAGTTTTCCTTCAGTACAACCTCATTCATGGACCATATTTCCTTCCAAAGATATTTAAGTACGATTTGTATGTATCGCTACCAAAGTTACATAGTGTTTTTCGTTTCGCAGAGTCAAGTGGGCCATAAATAAAAGTGTTGACTAAAACTTTAGGAAAGAAAAGGCAAAGATGATTTTCTGGGGACCTTCATGTCTACTGTTCTTGATACTTGGAAGTTGATTGGGCCCACAGCTTTGCCTCATTTTTTTTTTTTAAATCCCACACTTTCTGACGATTTGTTGGACCCCGAGCCTTGTTTGGGGGGTATTTTATAAACATTTTCAAACAATATACTTAAATATATATTCACGCAGCACCATACTCGTTGTCTCGTTTTCCGTGGTACTTATTTTATTTGCCATCAAATGCGAGTAAAAAGTAAAAATCTAAATAAATAACATTCAAAACTTCACTAGTTATTTCCAAACTCGTCTTCGAAATTGCTTATAACACTGTTTGTGGCCAATTGAAAGTATTTGAGGGGAGAATAGATAGTATTAGATTAAAGAAAATGGGATGCAGAGAGATGGCTACTGTCATACTGTTTGAGTATCTGCCATTAAATTGTAAAATGCTCGAGGTCAAACCCATTCCACTCGTGCATCTTGAAAAAGTTCAAAAGGGTAATTAACCAGTGAACCCACAGCTCACTTCCCAGACAAATCAGCGCTTGGCAAATGTATAAATGAAGATTCTGCAGCGAGTTATGAGAATGGTTTCTACATGCGCTCACCTTTTGTCACTTTTAATATTTGTGGTATTCTCTCCTTTCTTCTTTTCACTGCTTGACACCAGTTGAAAATACCAAGTACAGCCAGATTCTTCAACACCTAATCTTCCACCGGAGAGTAGCTCCCGCTTTTTGCACTCCTCCAACCTTAATACTTAAAATATGAAGCCTGCATACTCTCAATTTCAACTAAAGTCCGATTCTACATAGACAATTTACAACAGCCCCGCTCCACCACATGGCTTCCCAGACTGATTAGTCTTCTACAGCATCTCTCAATCGTCCACAAGTGCAGTCACGGTGGCAGCAACCAGGTGTTTACAGTACATACATATTCTCATGGAGAGTGTCATGAGCTTAAATCTAGACCAATTTTTTTTGGTAAGGGGATGTCAACCCCTGCTAGTATATATCTGAGTTGAAATGAGAAGTGTCACATAAAAATCCATCAACCATTTAGAGACGGCTTAGCATAGAAGGAAGGCTCGGAAATTGATGAAGATACCTCATGCGAAAATCACTTAAACAATTATAATGACCATTCTGATCGAATGTGATGCTCGACTTGTGACCTGTCATGAGGCTACGCAACTGACCTTTCGAGGCAGCATATTGGATGCGCTTTGCTTCACTGCTCTCGCACATGAACTTGGTAGTCTTGCGGTCTCCTTCTCCTGCTTCTGTTTTGCAGAGAAAAAAGCCATAGCCTAAGTCATAGTCAGGACTTACTGTAGTTAGAGTAGTTTCCCTTCTCGCTAGCTCGTGAACCTCACAGTTTCTTGGTCGGGAGTTTATCGATAGTTTGTTAAAAATTTCTCTGCATCTTGTGGCCACCTTCGAGGTGGTGTCATCCATAATACTGAAGATTCTTAAGGACACTTCCATTGTTTGTATAAATATACCCATACGGCTGGCTACTTTCTAAAACCCCCAGGTAGTTTTGAAGATATACATGCACCCAGTACTTTTTGAAGACGGGTCTCTTAAAGGTTGCTTTTTTCATAGCAGATATAAATAGCAGGGTTTGAATTCTATCTGTCATTTTCTGCTGACGGTTTGTCTTTAGCAGCGAAGGTTTTGTTTACTGCTTGAAGACTGATCTTCTGACTATATACAACAATTTGTCGGCTGCTCAAGGAATAGCAAGAACTTTGCTCTAGATCATTTACTACTGCTACTCCCGACGTCGGAGCGATACGAGAAGGATGGGAGTTTGAAACCAAATAAGATGTTTATATTCTTTCTGGTTTCTTCTTTCCTGGCTGAACATATTGAGATGAGCCATCCGCGACTTGGTTGGTAATAAAGCTTTTCTCTCATTGCGAATATGTCTTTTTCCAGCTGGCGGTTGCTTTATATCTAAAAGTATAACTCTTCCCGAAGGATAGGAACCAAAGACGGACGAGGTTTTTTAGGTCATGTAGAACTGTTCACCTTCGGTGCCATTTTGTTGCATATTTACCCGTAATCATAAAGGACTGCTGAGATTTTTAAAAATACAATTACTGAATTTTTTCCGTCACCAACCGCAGTGCAATCTTTCGGAAAAAGGAGAACAAAACGTTTCACTGTTGTAGAGCTTCAGAGACTCCTAGTTACTCGTATAGGTGGACCGGTATTCGGTAGTCTCACTTCGAATACAATTAGAGGGTCATGTTCGACACCTTTCAGGTCTTGATCCATAAGGCTCAGTTTGAATGTAACGGGTTCACCTCTTGAAGCTTGTGATTTCTCATCACGAATTTATTGCCTTCATGTGGGACGGACGCAAGGCTTTGGCGATAGCAAACCGTTGCGAGTTACGTACGCTTTATTACACCTTGCCACAGCTACAGCCTCATCTGCGGGAAAGAAATTTGTTTTCTTTTAATGTAAATTAATAAAAAAAAAATGTTTTTCAAAACAAATTTTAATTTTTCTTTTTAATTTATTTTATTTTTCTTGGAAAATCGGTTCACTTTTTTATTTATATATCCGATTGACTTTTTTTTTATTTTCATTGTTTTTGTTTCGTTAAACTATTATTGTGATTAAAACCCATTTTCATTATCTGGAAAAAAGTTTTCAAACAATTTGTATTGAATTTAAGCATGTAAGTATGTAAACAATTCACCATAATTTTTTATTAGCCTCTTTATGCAACATGTGGCATGTGATGAGCGCTGCGCTTTGCATTTCGTAATTACATAACGCGGCATGGTCAATTACATTTGCCAATAAATCACTGTAAGTTAATGACATTAAGCCGGTTTAACCCGATTCGAAGCACGCTGGAAGGCAATGCAAAGAGGAAAAGTAAAAAGAAAAAATATTAATTTTAAAATAAAAACAAATAATGCAAAACACAGGCAAACATGTGCTCAAACATAATTTTATACACACAAACACAGCCTCAAACGCTAATGTGGCATGCCACAATGTAGCTACTGTCTCCCAGCTTTAGACTGGCCTGGCCAAGCCGCTCTTAAAGTTAGCTTTTGCTTGTAGCCGTGGCGACAGAGGCGCGTGCGTAACCAGTTTTCGGTGTATTTTTTTTTTGCTTTCTTGTTGTTGTCGACACTTGAAACTTGATTTGGCCTTCAGAGCTTTCCTTTTAGCTTTTCTTTTCACTCTCTTGCTCAGTTAAATTTTACTCTCAATTACACGTTACGCGCTCAACACTATGACAGCCGTTATTTGGAGGCTTCCACCGTAGACTTCCTTTCTTTAATCGTGCTTCATTATTGATTATGCAGCAAATGTCGTTATCCAACTCTTCTCAAAGTGTCTTCAGTTTATTAACGCAGTTGTAACTCACTATTTTTCAGTTGTTTTTTTTTTTGATTTTTTTTTTTGCCACTTGTGAAAGTGAAAGTCTTATGCATACCAAAAACAAGCGCGCTGAATATGCCTAAACCGATGTAGTGGCGCCTAAATTGGTTTATTGGTGAATTTTTTGCATTTTGATTGTAATATTTTCAGCTGAATATATGTTATCTCATCGCATACCGAATGGAAAATTTATTTACATTAATATTTGGTATTTAGAAATAAAAAAAAAGTAGCGCTGAATTGAATTTATTCGCGCTGAATAACAACTTTGTGCGCTGTATTAGCATAATAAAGTAATACTGAAGTTTCTTGAGACGTACTTACATAGAGAAGCTAGCTGTAAACTGAGCTGAATAGCCCCACTGGCACTAAAAGCCCACACAAAAGGCACTAAGTTTAATTCATTTCAATTATATGTGCTGAATTAATTTTAAAATTTATTACCAAAATTTTAGATTAACTTACTTCGAACAAACTGTCAAAAGACTTGTTGAATCGCCGCTGTGACCTTATTTTTAAAAAGATTTAGCTCAATAAATAGCTGAATCTAATTCTTTTATAGTGAACTTCGGTTTTCTGCGCTGAATAATTTTGTGTAGAAGATTTGGCTTGATAGCAAATGGCAAAACTTAAGAAAGCTGAATTGCGCTGAATGAACAAATTCTCAGCAGAGAAAACCAGAGTTGGAAAATATGTGTGTTTTAACCTTAACCCAACAAACAAGTACAACATCTAATTTTATTAAGGGCTTTTTTTTTGTTTTCGAACACTTCCCCTGTTTTTGTGAAATCGAAATTATCTTAAGGAATGTAATAAGACAATATTTATAGCTGCTGAATGATTATTACAGGCGCTGAATTGTCATCTTAGGACAAATTTTAAGTTTTTCAGCTGGAGAAAGAAAACATATTCGCAGTGCCGAAGATGTCAAAAATATTCTTTCTGAAGTAAGTGCGCTGAATAACTAACATAGTGTGCTGAATTGATTTATTTTATTAAAATTTGTTTGAATATACCATTTATATCAGCATAGATGGATTGCTTACAAAGCTTTTCTCACAATATATCTTTAAATATTCGTTATTTCATTGACATATTAAAAAAACGATTTGTTTTCTCCATAACAGCTTTCATCATGCAATGCTTTAGAAGTAAGAACACCCGATCTGGAGGCCTACGCAAATTATGAGGTAAAAATTTCTACCTATAAATTTCAAACTCTAACTAACATTCACTACAACCTCTCTTCCACACCACAGGATATGCGACGATACATCGTCTCGCGGAGTCAACGCTCCAATCATCGTTATATTGACAACCCAACAGATGACACTTACATCACCGCTTATAATGAACACCATGAGCTCGCTTCACGCGAACGACAACGTCGTGCGACTAACGCGCAGCAAACGCGCAAATTGCCAAGCGAGCCACAATTGTTTAAGTTCGAAATCTCGGATGCTATTGAACCGAGCGCCGAAGTAAAGGAGCTCATACGTCAACATCGTAGTCGTGAAGAGAAGCTGACGACTGCAACGAGTCCACTTGAAACGAGTGAAGACGAAGGCTCAAGTACTGTAAAAGACGTTGGCAAGGAAAAAGCTAAGAAAACAACCGTTGCGCCAACGCGCGCCGCAAGAGGTGCACGCGCAAAGATCTCTCGCAGCAAACGACCGAAACGAGCTGCCACCGGCACACCGAATCAACAGGGCTTCAATTTTAATGTGCAGCTCATACCCTTCGACATCTCCGAGGCGAGAGAGCCCGATGAACGTACGAAAGAAGTGATAAGGCGTATGCGAAATCTGGAGTTACAAAAATTACGCACAGCCACAGGGACAAGCACCGCATCACCGACAGTGGTACGCGTACATAGGAACGCGCCAGCCACAGCCATGGTTACCAAATCTTTAACAGCACCAGTGCCGACCTTCAATCCAGGCAAGTACTATCGTCCGAAGACGGGCAAGCTGTTCATGAAACGCAAGGGAAAACGCGTCAAGCGCTCGGCTCCACAGATGATACGCTTCGAATTGGAGGATGCACGCGAGCCGAACACAGCCACTTTGGAGCAGCTGCGCTTAGCCAGACAAAGTCGCATGCATAGTATGGATCAGTGGAATGCAGCTGAGGAGAAGTTTACAGTTGTCAATAAACGCGAGACGCGAGTAGATAAAAAACCAACAATGCCGGTAGAACAGCCCGTAAAGGAGGAAGTTGATGAAGGCGACTCGGACTTGAATAGCGGCGAAAGCAAACGACATTTCGTCTACAAAGAAGCACCCGCCGTCAAAGCGAAGAAGTCCATTGGTTCTTTACCCGTGGAGGTACAAAAGATCATCACACATCTGATGAAGGATCAAGGCGCTGGCGCTGGCAGCGGTAAGGCTTACGTTAAATACATACCCGCACACATGGTCGACTATCGCCAGCTTAAGACACTCTATGGTGCCAAACTCGCCTTACCGCCAACATACAGCATTGGTGGAGCTGGAAAGCTCTCACCAGCCTCGTACATAAAGTACATACCGCCACATCAGAAGGGCGAGCAATTGCAAGTACAAATCCATCCAGTGCCGGTGGTGGAAAAGATTCGTTACATATACACGCCCGTCGCCAGTGCTCCGGCTGGACACGGTTACGACGCCGATGCACACGCAGCTGTCGCAGCTCAAGAACAAGCCGCCGCACATGCTGCTGCTGCGCATGCCGTACAAGCAGCCTATGCCGGCCACAACGTACATGCCGTAGCCGAGGCGCAAGCAGCACAAGCCGCACACGCAGTTAAGGCAGCACAAGGACAACACATAGTAGAGGTCGCACATCCAGCTGAGGGCTACGCTGGTGCAAAAGGTAACGAAGGTGAGGATGGCGCTCATGAAGGTGGTGGCATCGCACAACCGATTATCGTGCAGGAGGCTGGTGGTACGGGACATCATCAAGCGCAACATGCTGCTGCCGTTGAGGTCCACCACACATATGCGGCTGATGTCTCACACGCTCTGCAAGAGGAGGTGCCCGTGGCAGTCGCCATTAAAGCAGTAAATTTTCGGCCCTCAAAACCAGATCCACTACTCAATGAAAACAAGCTCTCGGAAGGCTCTTCAGCCGAGGCAGTCGGACATGGCGGTGGCGCAGATGGTCATGGTGGTTATAATGTTGCCCTCCATGCTGGCGGCGGTCATGGAAGTGGTGGTGAACAGCACGTTCTTGCCGAATATAGTGGTGGACATGGCGCTGAAGTAGGGCAACAATCTGTTGAGCAGTACAAATACGAAGTGGTGCAAGCCGAAGGTGAAGAACAGAAAGCTTCTCAAGCTCCTCTGGTAAAAATCGAGTACCACGGCCCAGTCGATGCCATAAAACAGAACTTTAAGGAACTACCTGAATTCAAAGAGCTCTCCACCTTAGTTGGCAAATCAACCGAAGATCAAATACACGGACTCACCTACCTGCTGGCCAAAGAGATGCAGAATAAATTGAAGTTACAACGCAAAAAATACTACGTCGCTGAAGCTAAAGATGCACACGCCAACACAGCGCCCATCGTATTCCCACTCGAACATCAACAGATCGCCGAACAAAAGCAGCAGCAACAACAAGCACACGCAGGCGCCTTGCATGGACGTCTCATTGGTATGGCCAAGTCCAAAGAGTATATACCCATCGTGGAGCATGGCCCTGCAGCTGAGCAAAAAGCTGCAGCTAGTGGCGGTAATGCACATGGTTCGGTGCAACATATAGCTATTCCCGCACCTAAGCAATATGTAGCCATCAAAGTTGAACCGAAGGCACCGTTGCCGAACTCATATATCGAATACGGTCTGTCACCGAACTACCAGGGCGTGAAAGGTGGTGGTGAGGGTAGCGCAGGCGAAGACGGTCAAAAGACTAAATTGTTAGTGGAACAAGTCGTACATCATCCGACTGTGAAGTACAGTGTCGGCGGTGGTGGTGGAGTCAAAGCTGAAGCGGAACTACATGGAGACGGTGCATCGAGTGAGCAGGGCTTGAGTTATGGCGATGGGGTGAGTTTGGAGTACTATTTAAGGCTGTAGTTTATGTATGCTTAAAAAGGGGACTTTCAAAAGATCTAGAAACCGTTTAAAAATTTGATTTTTGACCATCGCAGTACTCAAAATTAGAGCGGGGTTTAAGGTATCGTACTGCCCTCCCACCCGCTGCTGGGAGGAGTTCTTCAAATCTTTTTCCAAAGCCGGCTCAACCTCCTTACAATGAAGAGCTCAATAAAACCTTTCTTGCTGTTTGGCTACAGTGTGGACACACGTATTCTGAAGTCTTCCTTGTTAATTAGACTGTAGTGCTGAACTTCTGGTTAATTTTGTGTTGGACGAAGGTAGAAGTAAGGACATTGTTAGTCACATATTTCTTTGGAATACAAAGCACCATTCCAAACGAACTGAGACTCTCGCTAAGAGGGGATCGGAGAAAAGGAAAAATGGCACCGGAAAATCTTACTTGTCACGAGACGTTGGAAAAAATGTATTTTGGAGCAGACGAGCGACTTTCTTCGAGAAACTCTTGCTTTTTTACCTGTTCTACCATGAACTAAGCATAAGCACTTACCGTAATTCTTAAGACAGCCGCATTAACATGTCGCATTTCAGTCGATTTCTTTCCAACAGCAAGGCGGTTCCTTTACTCTCAATTCCAAAAATGGAGTCCTGTAGCTTACTCTTGATCCAGCCAAACTACATCTGCTACGCTTAGCAGGACAGACTCTGGTAAAAATCTATAACGAACTCGGTTTTATCGCTGAGCTTAACTCGACGAATACCCGCATTCTTCACAAAAAAGTAAAGATTTGGTGTTCATTAAGAACTGTGTTCACAGGTTCGTCTTCAGACAAGTCTTTTATGTAGAAAAGTGGTTCCTTGCGAATACCTATCTGGAGGAAAAGTAGGTCCACTCCACCTTTAGTGACTTCCGCTTCAATTTGGTTTGGGTAATTCACGTAGTCGATACCTGACTGCATTTAGCAGCGACCCAGCTCGGAAGGCGCCAGCTCAGTATCCATTGCCTACTGAGTGTTAATAAAAAGGACCAATTTGTGCGGGGCGACGCTTCATGCAACATATGTTTATACCCTTGTTGAGAGATATCCTTGTCTGCTCGTACGATAATCACTACCTCCTAGCAGATCTAACTTCTCTAATATAACTGGCGCTGAAGCGACTTACGACCGAGCTCCTCCTTTAATGTTTTTTCCAAGAAATGAAGAGACATTTAGTTTATTCCTAATCCCCCTCTGGGTGTCTGATGGAGTTTTATGAGGAGATCTTTGTGTCTTGTCGGAAAAACCCTCCGAGAGGTTACACTTTCCTGCCATTAGAAAGAAAGAAATTTTTGTAAATTATTTTTCTATTATACTTGGATGTCAGGGTTTGGTCAGGATACCAACAAATAACCCTCAGCATGTTTGTACGCGCTGCCAAGCACTTGTCTTTTGCGTGCGCCAGTCTTGGGGGTAGAACTAGCTTATTCCATGGAGCTTCTTTTAGTTAACCACTAAATTGTTGACATCTCCGCTCGTCCGTAAAACTTATAACATCTTGCAGGGAGGAAAAAGTGACCAACTGATTGTGAGCAGACTACCGGGGTAAGCTCTATATGGTTGTGATCTCAGCCAACTCATTTCCAACTCTATCTTCACAGTCTATTTCTTCGAAAGGATACTCTACTATGGTGTTCTCCTGCAAAAGTCTCTGCGAAAAGCAAAATACTTTTTCAACTAGCCTCAAATTCTTAACTTCCTTCCATTTCAAGTATCACAATATACTACGCATACATACACACACATACACCCATAAGTCAAATGCCAAGCCATTATAGACACTTCAAGTAGAAAATCTGAAAATCTTTAATCCTTTTAAGCCAAAAAGCTGCAATAAAGCCAAGCGCGTATGACAATGCACTGTGGAAGGTGAGAAGGCGGCAAGCGAACGTGCCAGTAAATTGCTTAAAAAGAGAATGAAAGAAAATCTTAGGGATTTGCGCAAACTTTACACGCAAAGTTCGATTTGAAAAAATTGAGTAAATGCCAGACAGGAGTGTGTGGATGATAAAAAGTAAAAAATGGGAAAAAGAAGAATTTGGAAAATGAAGTTTATTGAGAAGAAGAGGATACCAGGCGATTAGGGTGTGAGAAAAAAATTACAAAAATTCGAGAAATTAATAAAAAGGAAGACTGAAATTCTAAAGCTCATTCATGGACTAAATGGAGAGTAAGAGTAAGAGAGGGGGAAAGAGAGATTTAAGCTTCTACGGGAAGATCTCTTCAAATGCGTTGAGATTGCTGGAGTTTCTTATGTAACACCAGAATCCAGTTCAAAAAACTGCCTCAGGCTGCTTCTCCGTAATTGGGTTGAAAGACTCAACCATGCTGGGAGGGAAAGCAGACATAGCTCCAGTCTCTTAGACAGCTGATGGTGCTATCATATTTCAGATCATCATTTACTCATAGCCAGGTCCTCAACGCAGCAAAAACCTCTTCTCAATATGTGTACGCAAGGCTTACTGAGAGCACTCATGAAGAACTCGATATAAGAGAACTTGTCAGATGGAAAGCTTAATATTTACCGCCAACTAGGAATATATTTTCAACAAGGTCGAAGAGGGAGTCTCCCACATATAGACCTATAGTGGAAATAAAGTGACGGATGACCATCTTTTAGTCGTTTGGTACCAATTGGAGATCCTTTTCAACCTTAAATTTCCCACGTAAAGAGATTATTCAACGCTGTCGGCTTCAAACGACGGCTCCGCGTTGAAAACTTTCAAAGCTGAAGTATTGCAGCTCATACGGCGACATGATTTAAAGAATTCATCGTTACATCGTCTGCGATATTCGGTATTTTCAATGCATAAAGAACCTTAAAACTTTCGCATAGCCTTTCTTCATAGGTTTCAAATTCTTCACAAATGGTTCGTAGCCTGACGGAAGACTCGGCGCAGGAGTCTTCTTGCATTAATTATCCATCGACGAGGGGTTTAGAATATCAGACCTCTGTAGCGTATTTCTGACGGAAGTAGCTGCAATCAAATAGTCAGTAGACCCTACTACTCCGAATTGTGGTTTCAGTTAGAATGAGCATAATATTTCCTAAGAAGGACAATAGGCTCTCTTACAGTTTCAGCTTATTCCAAAATTAATGGCATCTGGGCTCCGAGTCACAACGGAATTGCTGTGAACTGCAATGCAGATGAGCTTGCCTGTATGGACACTACCAGGTTTTTATTTCCGGATATAATGAAGAAGATGGATGCTCCTCAGTCGACTTTCGGTCTGTTTCTGGACAGGTGGTCACAATACCTATCTGGCCTAAAGTGGATCGAAGTTGGTCAAGGAAGCTCCCAAGACTAAAGTCATTACGCTTATTAAAAGTTTTGACCGGGCAGTGTCTGTTGGGAACTCACGCCGTATGACTTGAAATCCAATCAGTTGAGGTTTGGATGTGCTTCATCTGAGGCTGCACTGATAAGCTCGGATGAATTCATTGATGGTGTGCTTCTTACTTTCATAGAGTACGCTCAGTAGTTGGGTCTAGCTATTTGCGGATTGAGCAGAAAACACTCTGTTTCTGATTCTATTAACGCTGAAAAATCCAGAGAGCATTGCTTTATTAATCCGGTTTACTAAGCATTTATTTCCATTCACTTCTAACAACTCCTTTTTGTAGAGCTACTCGAATTTTCCTGAACTCTGTCTCCAACACATGGCTTTCTCCCCTGCCATACTCCATTATTGGTCTTCTCTAAGCTATTACCTTGTGCGTTGTGTCATTACTAGACATTTCTTTCTTGCTAAATCCATAGTCGAGCCGTCTTTCCTCTCTTGATCTCCTCCCCCAGAGAAGCAGCTCATTCAAATGCGCTTGGCGCACCATTTTTTTACTTTGACAAAAATTTTTCAAGCGTATAATGAATACTCAAATACTACAACTTAAATTGTGGATGAACACACATACATATTTACATATATTTTTTGCATATATAACTTTGTACCTGCATGAAGTTGCCAGTCATTGTGCCGACAATCGACTGCCGCTTGCGTGCAGCTCCGTCTTAAGCTAAACAAATACAACTTTTGCCTGTACTAAAACTCGCTCTCTTTTGCCCCCTCTCCCCCGCACACCATCTCTCCCTCATTCCAGAATGCACAACTAAGTATTGCTTGGCTCATTGCTTTGCACATTTAAATTCACAAGCTTAATACCAACCGCTTTTGTTAGTCCGACTATAGACTAGCAGACTCATCAGCGGAGTTGCTCGGTTTTTCTTAATATCGCCTGTCGTCTGCGCGCCATTTCGACATTCTTGCTACTCACTCACTGTCTCTCTTTACTCTCCACTCCACTACATATCGCTGCCTTTTGCATATAATCGACATTGAAAATGTTTGTCGAACTTGAAAATTATTCGATTAAGAGCATTACCGGCGAGACATGGATCCGCAATCAAGGCAAAAGCAGCCTTTATATGTAGGCAGGGTGGTATGCGTAGATATTACTACATGCGCCTAAATAAATACGAGCATAGCGTGTGCATACACAAGTATAAGTACTGTTATATAATATTTGTACACGTCTAACTGCAATCGTTGCACCTACACGTGCTGAACGGTCGGACGGTCTTACATAAATCGAAGTACATTGTACGCAAACTACTTGTAGTTATCACAGTTGGCTGTACATAGGTAAGCGTGTGAACCCTCTGGCGAGCGCACACCGCCAATACTAAAGTAATCAAAGCGTTCGGTACGCCAAGCAACAAGAAATAAATAGCGTAATATGAAACGTGTAGCGAAGACTCACACCACAAGCTAGCTGACGCACATTGTCTAGCATCTTTCAGTACCCAATCAGCTGAACTCCTTTCTCGGTGGGAGTGAAGTTCGCCGTCAGAGTTGTAGCGGTTTCGTTATTTCGGTTCCTGCCGAAACAGCCGTAGATATAAAGTCCCGAAAGCCCGCTCCTGTGCCTTCGCAACATCGAGCGCAAAAAAATAAAACTGAAATCTGCTCGAGGACGAGGTGGGG